CAGATCACAGCACAGGTCATGTTACAAACACTAGTTCTAAATAACCATAATTGCAATTCTAAATTTAAATTATTTCACTGTGTGAAATTAGAAAAATACAAGGTGTTTTTTTTTCTTCTTCTTGATTAAGACAGGTGGAGAAATACATAAAAGAAAAAAATTCAATTCAAGAAGAAATTAAAGTTAAATTCAAACTTTTACATGTGGACATACATTTGCTAAAAAGTATCAGCATTTTCCCCCCTGAAGTATGGGAGTAGAAAGAGGTGTCATTCCCTAAGTCAAAGTGTCTATCTTCCTCTTTCCTGGAAGAATTTTCTGGGCAAATGGAAGCATCAAAAGGAAGCAAAAAAGTCTTCACTCTTCAGTCCTCACCCATCTACACAAACAGAAAGTGCTATGGCAGTTTCAGAGATGCCAGTCATTGTCGTCAGGGTGGAGGATAAGAGGCAATTTGAGGGGGGCAGTACCCCAACTGCAGAAAACTTGGAACTGAAAGAGTCTCCGCATACAGCCATAAATACATCCAACAAAAACAACTTGGGTTTCTAAAACCAGACCTAAGTTCTGTTTTGTTTTGTTTTTCCTCGTTGTCTCCATGGGTAAACTCATGTTAGGAGGCAGTTCTGCTTTTGGTTACCACATTTACAGTTCTGAGGCCATAGAGTAAAGGGAATCAATAAAAGGGAAACACACTGGGGAAGACTGAATGAACTTTTAGTTCACTAAAATTTTGTGACTAATCAGCATCTTCTTCTTTGATTATACCAATACAACCCTAATCAATCTTCTTTTAGTAGGAAACTTTCCACTTGCAACAGTCTTTTTGTTCAACTGTCAACCAGTAGTAGTTTTAAAAGAAATCATTTTCTGTATTTTCCTCAGAGGTGTCTTAATTTTCCCTATTAAACTGAAAACCTAAGCATACTAAAGTCAGCAGGACCTAATGTCTAATGTACTTATATGTGTGTGAAATCTAGGGCCAAGGATCATCCATGGCTATTGCCCCACTTCAAATATTCATGAGTCTCCACAGTCCAAAATGCATTAAAGATGGGAATGATGCCAGCAACACACAGTCTTCCTAGTGACAAGAAGCCTTCTCAGATCAAAGGAGCAAGATGTTAAAGACTTCAAACTAAACCATCTTTGTAAGAGACACTCACAAAAGGAATGCCAAATCCCACACCCTGTTTCAGTTATGGAACATCAATGAAATGAAGAAAAAATAGATGCACATTCACTCTCTCTTCTGACTCATTTGATTGCAACTACTTTGCTTTTTTCCCCTTCTTACCACTGCAGTCAAACATAAGAATGTTATACACTAAAATCGGAAAACATTATGAATGCTTTCAAAAACAAAATGAAAGACTACTGGGAAATTAATAGCATTTAAGCCAATATGATTTTGCTAATGGAGTCTGAACCGCATGTAGAGAATAGTACAAAAATAGTACAAAATAGAAAACAGCTAAAATAGGATTAAGAAGCTATAAAGCATATGTATGAAGCAAACATGGAAAATGATTTAAGTTATCCCTTTATGTCATTTGTCACCCAGCCACGTCTGCTCTTACACCTGTGCTCCCTTCCTTGATCTATTCTGACATCCTGGAAATGTTAGCCATGCAGCCAATTGCATACTTGGTTTTTACTATGAACAGACCCAGCTATCAACTTAATTTTTCTTACATTAAATCAAGAATCAATCCCAGGATTCTGAACTACTTCTGACTGACAAGATCAATAGGAAGTTCTAGGCTAATTACCTCTTAGGAATAGTTTCCAGTATAAAGAGCTACTACTGACCTACTTTGGACTTACTGAGATAATTTATCAGGTAAGATAATTAAAGGAACATGAAGCCATTTCTAAAACAAACTATTTGAAATATTTGTTTAAACCATAAGTTGGTATTCCTAGTGACACGAGAGGTGGCTTTATTATAAATTATATTTGGAAGGATGTATTTGAGAGTTTCTTTGATGTATAAATGTATTAGTTTTGACCCTTTTAAGTCTAGACATAAAGAGAAACAATCTTTTAAGCTCTTCTTTTCTCCTTCTCTTAACCTCTTCCCTATAAACAGGCATACAAATCCCTTTCCACAGGTGTTTCTATTATTTCTGAAGTCCTTCCTAAATACAAGGATGCCTTCAATATGAGAGTGGATGTAACTGTAGTGTGGACCACCTATCATGCTGATTTTTAACTGTCTCTTTGTAAGGTTTAATCCTTTCCTACTTTTAGGTAAATATCTGTAACTGAAAAATATTTTGTAGCAGTGGTCTTTCTTTCTTATTGAGAAAACCTAACCATATTCTGATTTCCACAATCTTGATGGTTCTCCATAGGAAGAAAAAAAAAGACAAGGAAAAAACCTCTAAATGAAATCATAGAAAATAAGGGAGGGTGTTATATTAGCCTACAAGCCATCTGTTTTCTTAAAATAAAAGCATTAAAATGTTATGTGACGATTATCATGATTTATCAATGCCATCCTATAATTATTGTTTCTCTCCTTATCCCACTTGCCTTCTCTCTCTCCCTTTTATTTTTTCTTCTCCATGTGACTTGCTTCTTAACTAAAAACCTCATCTAATTATGAAAGCAGGATCAGTTGAACTGTGTACAGGCTTTTAAATTCTAACAGAGCTTTGTCTTCATCTTAGAAGTATCTGAGCATCTTTGAGTAAGTTACTTACTTAGCCCTTGAGGTAAAATGTAAAATATTAATTTCTTAGGTCACAGTTAAAGAAAATCAGTATCGCAGATACAATAATAACATTATTTCTTGGTGGTGTTTATTCACATCTTTTTATTACTTCATAACACAGCCCTGAGAAAATTTTTATGCCTATAACTGTGGTTTAGTTCATGTCAAAGGAGACAAACAAAGAAAACAAAACACTGAGTTGTGCTCTTTGTATCATACAGCATATGCAGTGTTTTATGTTTTTGAGAGGACCTGGTCATGGTTTCATCCAAAATCAATACTGCATCAAAGCTCCCCTGATTCAGTGAATGTTCTGTTGACTAGCACTGGAGTCAGACCACTCCCCTATTGCTTCCTATCTTATTTTATGGCCTCTTTGATTCCATGCCTATTTAATTTCATTTATTGCTTTATTCTTGTGTCCTTCAGCTGTTTCCAATTTGCCCTTCATGGTCATAACTAACTACAATATGTTAACATACAAAGGTATTTATGTAAATAAAAATCAATACGCTTTTCATTTTAGCACCATTCCTTATTGCTTACATTGGACATTTTAAGTACATTTTATTTAATTGCTAACAACTTTTCATTCTTGCCTGGGAAGTATAACGATCTTCTTGGCTCCCTGCCCCTGCATCCCTCTAATCTTCACAGCTATGGCCACTTAGCCCCCATCTGGAGGTTCAGCCTTATTCCACATTTTGGAACTAATCTTGTCTCTAGGCTGGGGGCGTACAAGAAATCTTAGCCAAAAGCTAACTGATTCAGCATCCAGTTAGCTTTGCTGCTGGTTTCATTCTGACCTTGTAATTTATTTCCAAGATTCAGGCACTTATCCCAGGCCCCTGTAACCACGGTTTGTACACCAGTTCCAGTAAGTGGTTATCTATCTAGTCTTTTCCTTTTTAGTCCCTAATTTGTTTTCCTGATTGATACCCAATTCTTCCATGACTGAGGTCTTGACTTGTCCATCCCCTTGGTCCCCTTTAGAAGGAACTACTTCTGGACCCCAGTTTTCATGGCTGGACCATAGAGCCTACTGATGAATCGTTCTGGTGCCATCAACCTTGCCCATATCTCCTTGGACACCTACCTTCACACTTTACACTTGTTTTTATCTAGACTACCAGGAGTGATACTCTGCTTGGCTGGACAATTTCCCAGTGCCTGCTGCAGGTATCTCCCCAGTCACCAGCTCTAACCCTGCAGGTCTTGAGAGTCACTGGATCTAAGCTGCCTGCAATCTGGCCATCTCACTATTCCAGGTACGACAGGAAAGAAATATTATTTTAATTGTATCTTCAGTTGAATTGTTATGCTAACTCCCTCTAGTTACTTTCACCTCTAGTTATTTTTTTCTCTGCCGTGCCAGTTAAACACTTCAAAACTCAGTTTCCTCATTCTAAAGTGAAATAATGGTATCTACATTATAATTTGAAGATTGAGGAGAGAAAAAATGTACATAAAGGGTCAAGCACATAGTAAGCAACCCATAATTTTTATCTGCTGTTGTGATCTTATTTGTTAAATCTTTGTACTTGGTAAGTGCAACTATGTAACTTAAAGATGATGGTTAAAGAGAAGAGAACTCAGGGGAATGAAAATGCCTAAAATAAAATTTGAAAAAAAAAAGAAATTGAGGGATCCATGTGAATTTTTTTTAAGTAAAATAACTGACAGCAAGATAACTAACAGCTTGAAAAATGGTGCTAACTTATAGACAGAGTCACTAGCACACATTGAAAACAAGAAATTGAAAGGGTACATTTCAGTGTGCCTAATATGCAATGTCTGTGACTACTCAGTTTGCACAGGTGGTGCAAATAGTTTACGTGCTCGGCTGCCAACTGAAAGGTGGGAGGTTCGAGTTCACTCAGAAGTGTCTTGAAAGACAGAAAGGCCTGGCAATCTACTTCCCCCAAATCAGCCACTGAAAACTCTATGGAGCACAGTTCTACTCTGACACACAAGGAGTCGCTTTAAGAAAGATTCTGGTAATATAATTTTTCTCTCCATCTCTTACATTAACTGTATTTGCGAGTCTTGGTGATATCTTAGTATACCTTGTCAAGGGATGCCCTGGGGAGTTCCTGGCAGGCCCACGCCTTAGTGGAGCTCCAGAAATTCCTTATTGCTCTCATATTCTTATTTTTTTCCCTCTTGGGAAATGGAGAATAAAAATGTGCTAACAATGTCTTATTTTAGAGAAGGACTGATGAAGTAAAAAGAAAGTAGTCATTGTCATTTTTTGTTTAAAATAATAAAAATAGCATATTACCAGACATCCTCGGCATCTTCATCACATTCTGCACCAAATTGGCAAATATCACAGGTGGATGTCTCCTTTTGGCTGGTTTCTCCTGACCCTTCATGGACTGTAGGACAGAGGAAAAGCAAATACAAGGGATTCAGGTAAGTCTGCATAATACCAACAACACTAAGATTATTCTGTACTAAAGCTGCTACTTTTCCAATGGACCTGTTTGTTATCGGGTCTTAATAAGAACTTCATATTCAACTCTTTTCTTCTTAAAATTTAAGGTCAACCCTAACAATAATATGCCAACCATTTGTGTGTATTCTGCAAGCAAAACAAAACAATTAGAGAGACTACTGAATTGATTAAAATTGCTTGCCTAATAAATAGACCATATGAAAGCTATTTAATTAAAAGGGATTTAAATGGTTACATGTCTAAAGGAAAAATATAACAAAAACTTTATAAAAAATACTTAGTATTTTCTTACTCCTAGATTATAGATTTTTCTCATTCAAAGGTTTTCATGTATCATTTAAAAATTTAGATGGATGGCCTTGAATTATTAGATATGCTCTCTATTTTCCTTAAAATATTCAGTAGCTATAAGAAAAATGTTAATTACTAGTTTTTCGAAAACAACTTTTAGTGGTTTTGTACTGTAATTTCTTGAATTTCACTGCCACATAATTTGAATGCATGTAAATATCTCACAGAGCCAATCACAGAGGCTTCTGGTGAAAGGGTTATGAGTATATATTGTATTATAAAATGTATCTATTCAGTCTCTGATGATGATTATTGATATTATTGCTTCTTTTTTTTTTAAGTTACAGGTAGCAAAAATAGGCACTATGTAACCTAATTATAAAACTAACCTTGTAAAATCAGGACTTAATAGTGTAAATCCAGGAAAAATTCTAATATTTTGAATGCAAGGAATGAAAATCTGAGCAACACTTTGGAGGTGATAGATTACTATTTACCTAATGAAAAATATGTAGTTGAAGGCAAAAATAGTTTTACCTGAAAATGAAAAATTGCAACAACCTAACTACTGCATAGATAATCTTATTCCATGAGTAGACCATATATTTAAAAACAGATATTTCAGTCAAGAGGATCTTCTAAAAGTACACTTTCGCAAAAGGTTAAGTATTTTCAATAGAAAAGGAGCATAAGCAATTAAGTATGATATTAGCTCTAGTTTTTATGAATCCTTATTAAGATAACACTTTTAATAAAGACATAATTTATTAATACACACCCTTAACTTATGAAATCCAACTTAATTATTTTGTTTTTATATGATATTTTCTCATCATTTCTTCTTTGTCTGTTAACAAGAGTTTTTAGTATTTATAATAGCAAAGGTATGCATTCCTTGATTTCCTTTTATTTACTGCTGTGCAGATGAGTGATTTGATTTTTTAAAAAAGAACAAAATGACATCTCATCCAGAGTTTTCTGCTTTACAATTCTTCCAGGAAAGGTAGACAGATTGATTTTTTTCTAAAACATCCATTTTCTTCTGCACTTGATAATTTGCACTTTCATTTAAAAAAAAACAACTTTATGAATTATGCATATCAACCTCAATTGCAAATGTATTGATGGTATAGTTTTAGATTTGGAAGTCTAAAAAAACAGTTGCTGCTCTCTGAAAAAAAGGAATTTTAGGCTCTGATAAAATAGACAGCACTTATCTTATAGTCTACTCTATTACTTTAATACAGGCAAGACCATTACAGTGGACCAAGGGGATAAGAGGGAAACTGGGCTTTCACCTCAGGGGAGACTGAACAGCTGAGGTCGGTCTCTTTATTACTTTCTTATTATTAATGCAACACAGAAGCTGCTAATGGGAGAGAGCCTTTTAGTGTTAGTAAGATTAACAACTTCCAGACTAAAACTTCCCATCACTCAGGAAACGTACTAACGCAATGGGCAGGTCCTTAATGAACAGTGATAGCCACCTAGGGGCAGCTCCATTTTCTTCTGCACTGGAAATCCTAGGTTAGGGATCTACTGGAAGTAATCCAGGGGATGGCTTGTGCTAACGCAGCAGAACTAATAATAATATTCCTACCGGAAGTCGCATTGTATTTCTATAAAAGGACAGTTATTGGTAGAATCTAGATGTTTGGAAATTCTCCTGTAAGGAGAAATAAAGTCAAAAGTAGCAGCAGTAATACTCCCATGGATAAATAGTCTGGGAATAAAATGCCTTTATATGGATTCATCTGCAGTGAAATGTAACATATTTTTGTATCTTCTGAAGCAAAGTTTGTGCCTTTGTAAAAACAAAAACAAATAATCAACAGTGCACAACAGTTATTTAACTTCTTTAGACCAAACACCAAAAAAACCAAACCCGTTGCCATCAAGTCGATTCTGACTCTCATGGCTATCCCATGTGTTGCAAAGTACAACTGCCCCATAGGGTTTTCATGGCTGTGACCTTTTGGAAGCAGATCTCCAGGCCTTTCTTCCAGGCACCTCTGGGTAGGTTCTGACTGCCACTTTTTGGTTAATAGCCTAGTGCTTAACCATCTGCATCACCCACGTTGGACTTTGAAGTTTAGAAGCTCTGAAAGATTTTGTTTGTTCATTTATTTATTTGTTTAACATAAATGCTCTGGTATATCCTTGGAAATACTGAATTAGTAGGTTTAGTTTGGAACTTAGATTTGTATGTTCTAAAAAAATGTAGACCATCCTTGAGTGGGATTCTGCCTTAAACACTTCTAAGAAGACTTCTTCCTCTGTCCCAAGCATCCTCCTCATGCCTTATCCAGCACAAGGCTTCTTACACTGGAAAGTGCTCATAAAACATCCAGAAGTTTTGTTAAAATCAGATTCTGATTTAGTAGGTGTGCTATGTGGACTGAGGTTCTGCATTTCTTACAAGCCCCCAGATGCTGCTGCTGCTGCTGGTTCACAGACCACATTTTGAGTAGGAGGGATAACACCATGTTTTTCAAACCACAATTCACAACCTATTAGTGGGTAGGGAAATTTAGTTACTGGCTCACAACCAGCATTTTTTGTAAACATGAAGCAGAATATACTAGAACAGAAAACACGAAAGTGCATATTACTTAGCAAGTCTAGATTTTATTTTATAACATTGTTTTAAGGAGCCCTGGTGGCATAGTGGTTAAGAGCTTGGCTATTAACCAAGAGGTCAGCAGTTCAAATCCACCAGCTGCTCCTTGGAAACCCTATGGGGCAGTTCTACTCCATCCTACAGGGCCACTATGAGTCAGAATTGACTGGATGGCAATGGATTTGGTTTTCCCCATAGATATATGACTTGCAGTCCTATGATATCATACTTGGCCTTGTGACTTGCTTTTGCCATTGAAATGTGAGTGGAAGTGAGAGAATTCTGTATAGAAGGAATACAAAAGTCATCACGTGGATTTTTACTTTCTTTCTCTTTCCCTCTGTGTAGAAAAGCCATGTTCCAGAATAGGGGTTGTTCCTGAAACCAGTCTTTGGAAGAGAAAATATATAGGTAGAGCCACAGTTGACTGCAGCCATTGGAGCAAGAAGTATGCTGTTGATGCTGTAAGACTTTGAGACGTTGAGGTCATTTGTAACTGTAGCTTTACCTGGTGAAAGCTGACTAATAAAACATGGATTAATGTTATTAATAAATTCTGAAGGAACACATATTTTCACATTACTTTCCACACTGCAGATATTGGTTGTATTACTTATTTATGCAACCTTAGGTATGCTTTTAATTTTATCTAAATGTGCCTTTAAATTTTTTATTTTCTTTTTACATTAGGCTGTATCAACAAAAAGAATAAGATTTTCGAACTTAAAATATGATCCATGGACACTGGTTCTACATATATTTAAATTATTACAAAGGTACAAAAAATTTTTTGAATAAAACTTTCATACAAATTTTATACTAACCCTAACCTGAATTTTCTCAAAATTTAGACTGCATTTTCTCTCTCTACTTTAGAGTAAAAACTAATCAAGTAGTGTTTTTTTTTTTTTTTTTTAAGTAGGCATAATGAGAAAGCAATTCTTGGTAGCCTTTAGTTTATTTTCAATTTGTTTACACATATAAAGAATTGATCAATGATAACATTTAATGTATCTATTTAACTAAAATAATTTTATTTATCAAATTATAAACATTTTTTTTTTCTGAATAAGTTGCATAAATTACTATCTCTTTATCATCAAAAACTGAACTGTGAATTTACCTTCCAATGAAGGACAAATTTCACTTACAAAATTGAAAGATTTTTTTTAAATCAAAACTCTGTTCTGTTCTTTAATTTGCACAACTTGTCTATTTTCACTCTTGTATGCCAGTTTTACTTCTTATATACCTGTCCCATATGCAAGTTAAGTTGGATTTACATGATAGAAGCTGTTGACGGTTCAGAGGCCTAGACAGTTTTAAGCGATTGTTTTTGAGTGGTATTCATGTTCTCTTTTACATTCATGACTTTTTCCTAGAAATCTCAGTATAATTTTAAAGACAAATAGGAACAAGAAAACACTTTCCTCTTTTTCATATCATAATGTGGGGATATTTTTCATATGAATAATAATTATACTGCTACATCATATTATTGAGATGCTAAAATAGTACAAGTGGTATTTTGGTCTGATATTTATAAAGCTAATACAGATGAATACTGTATACGTATCAGTGTCATAATGCAGTAATATGGGCTCAGATTTTAGAGAGGAAATCCATTATCTTTGCTTCCTTTTAATTAAAAGAAGTACAACTCAAATGATAATTTTCAATTTTTAATTGATTTAAATACCAACAACTAAAGAAAGACTGAAATTACATTTATACATAATGGTTTAAGATTCCAAAAACTACTTGAAAAGCCTAAGAACCAAGTTGATGACTGAGTAAATGTAATTTCATATTAAACACTTCAAAAAAAGAGATGATTATAGAAAATTTAATTTTTTATAATTAAGCTCGTTTGCTAGAGCTTGACAAAGCTTCTTTAGAAATCACATATAATTTATCTTTTGTACAACAACTAAAAATAATTTAGAAGATGAATACTAAGCTACTGTGTTAAGGCACAATTCTATTGTCACCATTTAAGCCTGATTTCA